CATGGATGCCACCTTTATCGGACACCTCTTTGATAGACATTCAGTGGCTGCAGAATGAGCAGGTGGGTCTGAAACAAGCAAACCACAGGATTTCACGCGGAAGCGGCTTCCTTCAAAGGGGGAATGGGATAGGGTGGGGTGGAGGGGGAGAGGCAGAGGAAGAGGGAGGCTGTGGCGTACAAGGCCTCCCCTTAGAATAGAGGCAGGACGAGTGGGAGAGCCGGGTGACAGGCAGAGTAGTGGCAGCGGCTGCCTGCTGTCTCTGGAGCCCCAGGCCCCATCTCGTTCCAGCCGTGTCTGCCCCCAGGCTCCCCCTTTCTCCAGCTTCCAGTGCCAGTGCAGGGAGTCCTGGGAGCCACTGCCAGACACCACTGCCCTGTACCGGCAGCTGCGACAGCGCAGGACAGGACAGGGAGGCTCATGTCCCCACACGGACTAGAAGGACACATGCAGCTGGGCTGGGCCACAGTCCCGTGTCCCACGAAGGTCCCAATACCACCCTCCAGAGGAGAGCGGAGAGCTGAACAAGGGAAAATCACCTCGCATTCAGGAAAACCTCCGGGATATTTATTAACTCCGTACCACTAAAAAGAGTAAGTGACATAAACCATCTGGTTTGTTTAATAAATGGAGTGACCTAAATGGCTATGGCCAGTTTCTAAATGAATACCCAAATAAAATGAAAAGTGCCTATTGTTCAGGAACAAAGGTATAATCAAATTCTAATTTTCTATTCCAATAAACATCTTTGAATTAATGCCTATTCCACTAATGATGAAGGTTTTTTATTAGTGTTCTACTTGATTAATAAAGCACAAACACAGATTCCACATAATAGCGCTGTCATTTCCCCGTGGAGGGCGCCTGGGTGGCTCCATGCATGCACTGAAACCCAGGAGGGAGAGAAGCGAAGCTGAGAGGAAGGTGGTGAAGCATGAAGGCTGCAGAGAAGGGAAGTCTGGTGTGGAGCGGGCAGAAGGGTGCTTGGCGCAGTGCCTTGCTTAGCACAGCCCAGGAAGATACGCGGAAGGAGCAACTTCAACCCCACTTTCAGCAGGGAGCCCTGGGCTCAGAGCCCTGCCGTGGCCTTGGGAAGCTTTGGGAAGAGCAGCGGCCCTGCAGCTCTTGCTACAGAGGCTGTGGGCAGACACCTGCCTGCCACCCAGCCATGTGGAGGCCATGCTTGTGCGCTAGACAGCAGGGTGCACTCTCAGGCCTGAGGCATGGTCCTGGGGCTGCAGGGAGGATGGAAATTGTGAACTTGAGTGGAAGGGTGTGGTAGGGGCTGAGGAAGGCAGCATCCTGAGAAAGGTGACCTTGCAGAGCTGGGCCGAGGACTGTCGACCGAGGCTCAGAACATGCAGCATGGTGGCATCTTCAGGGAGACTCTCTCTCCAGTGAGGATACGTGTGTGAGGACAAGTGGGTACGTCCCCAAAGTCCAATCCTCCCCACCCCAACACCCTGATATCTGTGGGTCTGATTTCTCCTAAAATTGGGATTGAACCCAGGGCCTTTGTACTGAGTTACAATTTTTTTAAAAAAAAATTTTGAGACTGGGTTTTGGCTGTTCTCTAAGTTACCCAGGCTGGGCTTGAACATGTGATCCTCCTGCCTCAGCCTCCCAGAGGGCTGGGATTACATGCCTGCACCACTCTGTGAGGCATCAGTGTCATCACTCTGTGAGGCATCAGTATCTTAATCACCATTAAGATAAGCGCTGGTGCATTTCTTCTTTTATTTTTTGGTATGATCACATCTAACCATTTTCTCCCATCATCTTAAGCAATATTCCATAAAAATGCATCACTGATTGCTTGGGATTACTCAGAACCCTCCACTTGAGGTTGGCAACCAGGCAGGAGGCTCTGGTCATCTGGGCCTCTCCACCAGGCATCAGACTGAATCAGAGCACTGTGCTCAGGGTACTGCCGCCCTGTGTAAAGTGGGGTGGATTAGCCACGCCCCTCACCTAGCCACACCCACCCACTTAGCCCCGCCCCCACTCCTCAGCCAGATACGGGTCCCCACCTTGTTCCCTGTGGCCTTAGGAGAATTAAGGTCCCAGTGAGCTCACCTGCTGTTCTCCAAGGACAACGTCTCGCAGTCCTCTCCGGCCCAAGGCAGGCCGTCACAGGCAGAAGGAAACCCTCCTCGTTGCCCTGGGTCTCGACCCCACCCTGGCACACATCACAGCTTTTTGTCACTGTGACAGTGTCCAGGGAAGTGCCTATGGAGAGCTGACTTGCTGAGCCCAGGCTGTGGGGCTCTGGGCCTGGCACAGGCTCAGGTGACGTCCTCATGGGTGGTGTCACCACGGCGGAGCATGTGCAGAGGGGAGCACACGCTGAGGGATGGTGGGGCCTTTGGAGGTCGGGCTGGCTCTGGGCAGACTCAGGCCCCATAGGACCTTGGGCACTGCACCAGACATCACAGCCATGTATCCTGGCCACAGCCTCTGTCAGGCAGGAGCAGGTGTCCCTGGCTCCCTGAGCTGGGACCCCATAGGGACCAGGCTGCGGAGGGGCTCCTCTCCCTCCTGAGACTCCTCTCTGAGTTTCCTTCCCTGTGGCTTCCCCATTCCTCTTGGAGTTTCCAGCTGCACCCCTCTTCTGTTCAGCCCGACACCAAGTTTCAGTTTCTGCTATGTCACCATGCTCTCCCTGGGGGTTCGTGTCCAGAGGACCTGTTGGGCTCCTCTCCATGTCTGGCTGTCCTCATTGCTGCTGTCCTCATGCCATCTGCAGGCACAGAGTGATCGTCACTGCCTTCCTGTGTCCTCATGTGTCCTGTGCTGGTTGTTAGGAGTGGCCCTCATGGGGTCCTCAAGGGTCTACTTACCTTCTCCTATCTTGGGGACCCATGGGACTCACTGGGTCTGGGTCAGTTCGAATTGTGGGCCTTTTGTCCTGTGGGGTGGGACCAACTCCACACCACACTCTCTTGTAGGACCTTTTCTTTTCTTTTTTTCTTTTCTTTTCTGTTCTTTCTGGTACTGGGGATTGAACCCAGGCCTTTGCACTGAGCTACACCCCCAAACCTTTATTTTTCCTTTTGAGGTAGGGTCTTGCTAAGTTGCCGGGCCTGGGCTAGAACTTGCAATCCTCCTGCCTCAGCCTCTCAGAGTGCTGGACTTGCTACCCCTGGCTGGGGCTCCTCTTTCTGTGAGACTCCTCTCTTTGAAGTCCCGAGGCACTGTGTTCCCCCCCACCGTCTTCAGACTTGCACGTTGCTGTTCAGAGGAATTTCATAGGTGGTTGTTTGATATGGCCATTAAAATTAAATGACATTAACTGACATATTATATCAGGGTACAGACAGTAAATATTCAACTATGGAGCAAGGGCTTGTGGTCCTCCAGGCTCCCAGGGAAAACAATGCCTGCAGCAACAGGTTTTTGCAAGAGAAAAAGCTTTATTGTGTGGGTAGCATAACCAGCCAGGGTCTGGGCTGAGCTCAGGTTGGGATTTTACAGGAGGGAGAGGGGCTGAGTTTTCCCCGGGTGGCTGCCCTGGCACAGTCTGGGGGATTCTGAGCTTGTTGCGTGGTCCTTGGTGCTTCTGCTCCCGTTGGTCCTGGAAAGCCACTCCCAAACTGTGACCAAGGTTAGTGGAAGGCCCGGGATCCTCCTGGGAGACAACTCTAGCACTTGGTCACTCAGAGAACTCATGCCCATGTGAGTCCAGGCCTTAGCTGATTTCAAAACCTGGCTGCTTCCTAATCATTCCCACTGTTTCTGTTGCCTCAGGTAGCTGTACTCTTACCTATGGCTTCCCCTCTAAATTCTGCCCTGGTGCTGTCACACTGGCACTGTTTGCTGAAGGTGTGTCAGCACACAGGGCACCCTGCTTGTATCTTCAGTGTGGATGATTGTGTAGATGTCACATGTATGGTGAAGACAGGATGCAAGTGTGTGGGGCCTGGGGCCTCCCCGTCAGGGACAGCACAGGAAATCGAGGACAGAGTCCTCCAGGATTGGAAACTAGCTACCACTATGGGCAAGTGACATCCAGGTTCATGTCTCCTCCTGCCCATCCCATGGCCACTGTCCAGTGCATTCCGGTGGGAGGACTCTTCCCATCACCACTGCGGGCTGGCCCAGGACACAGAGCTCTGGATAACTGGGGTATGTGTCCCATGGGCACATTCAGGACTGAAGGCTCACGGGGCAGGGGTGCCTGTGTCACTCTGTCCTTCTGCCCCTCAATGGCAGCATCATGGCATAGATTTCCCCAGGGCTGGGTTAACATTCCCGGTGAACCCAACCCAGTATCCAAGCTGAGCTCTGCCCTCTGTGCAAGTCCCGTAGTGAAGCTGACTGCTCTGTCCTCAGCCTAGCTCTGACACCCTGGAAGCCTGGTGATGGTGAACCAGTGATGTGGCACCATAGAGGGCAGTGGGGTCTCAGGGACACCAGCAGGAGGCACTTGGAGAGGAAGTTCCCAGGAGGTCACGCTGACAAGGACACACCAGAAGCTCCTGTGCCCGGCTTCCCAAGAAACACACACTGACATGCTGATGGGTGCTGTTCAGGAGCAACCTCGTATGTGACAGCCTGACTGCCCGTGACTTCTCACCATCACTGGATGAAAGAGCCAAGTAGAGGAGGAGTCAGAGCGACACCGCAGGGGTGCCATCCCCTTACCTGTGGCCTGAGACATCCTGAGTGTGCTTCCTGTGCAGTGAGAGGTGCAGGGCTGGGGTGACACAGGCTCTGCTCACTGAGGATGGAAGAACCAGTCCCCTGGGTCAGATCTTGGATGACACATGCTGTGGGGCTCGCTGGGCAGGCACCGCACATGGAGTCTGGCACTGCCTGTCGCTCTGCCTCACCACCATGATGGGGGCAGCCCCGACACCCACAGATACTCTGCAGGCCCTGCCACCGCCTAGAAAGGACCACATTCTGATTGAGCCATTGATCATTCAAGATCTTCAGGAAACAAACAGATGGACAGGAAAATAATTGCTCTGTGCTTCTCAAATAAAGACCACCAAATGTGAAATCAGAAGTTTAATATGACACCATTAAATATATTTATATATCTCACACCACAGGGTTTTATTAAAACATAGGAATTTAGAAATTACAAGTAAGTATATGATTCCTATATTCAGATAAATTCATTTCTATTAATTATTATTTAAATTCCAGGTAGGGAGAAATGATTTCAGGAGAGGACAGGTATCAAAGCAGGTCTACAATACCACTTAAACCAGAGCATCCACCCCCTCCCTCCCTTCCTGGACCTTCTCATCACGCTTGGCCACAGATGGCACACGGAGGTGGAAGGGATGGAGGGGCACTGGGCGGGGCGGGGTCTCTATGTTCAGCCTTAGAGAGGTGTCTGTGGCTCTCGGCAACACCACTGCATCACCCTGATGTCGTCTACAAAAGGGGCTTTTCCTACTTGGGGGGGCAGGGGGAGGAAACCTGATGCTCCAGTGTGATTTTGGCACCTCTGAATCATGCAGACTCGTTTTGCTAACCATCGGGAGGCAGGAGGGCCCAAGTCTCTCCCGGGGCTGGGGTGTGGATGACAGCGGAGTCAGGCCATCCGCCCCTCTCCTCCCTGGACTGGACCTCCAAGCATCCCCTGGGACCACTGTGCCCTCAGGACTCTTGGAGCTTGCTGATCACCCACTCCTGCTCCAATTGGATCACCTCCCAGGAAAGCATGTCAGGGCATCTTGTTCTAGAGTATAGATCCTGATATTCTCACATTAATAATGGGCCTCACCTATAACCTCAAGTGAGGTCCTGACCTCGGAAAGAGTGGCAGGGAGGTGTCACCCAGGGAAGCTCCTTTCTGTCCTGGGGGACCTGCGTGGCTGACTTGGCCCTGCACAGTGCTTGGGGAAGCAGGTCAAGAGGAGCTGGCAGCGACGCCTTGGGGAGGTTCTTTCTTACCTTTCTTATCCAAGCTGTGGATGCTAACGTCCCTGCCTGAGACTTCTCCCATGATGGACCAGCCTCGAGGCTGGTGCCACGGTCATTTCCACACCTGCTGGCTTCCCAGGTGCCTGCCTCCCTGCCCCACTCATCCACTTTGACAAGCTGCTTCTGAGACCATGCTGAAGGGGCCAACTACCATGTCACCAGCACGGCAGGATTTGCGGTTAAGAATGCAAATGTGTGCTTTAGGAAAAGTAATCTTCTCAAGAATGTGAAAACAGATGAACTGATTCTCCCCTCTTCCAGTCAGATGTTTCTGCAAGCCCCTCTCACTCAGTGAAACATAAATACATTTTCGGGGGTGAAGGGCACCAACCACAGCAGCTTAAGGACCCTATCACTATTTGGTCACGATGGGAGACACACGGGTGGAGTCACGGCGTGGTCCTGGTGGCTGCGGTGGTGCCTACTGGGGCAGGGCCCTCAGGATGGCATTGACCTCCTCGGCCACGGCTGTCAGTGCAAACTCAAACTGCTCCTGTGAGGGGACAAGGAGAGGACACATGAGTGTGGCTTCAGTGGGGAGCTGTGGCAGAGATGCTGGGAAGAGAGAGGAACCAGCAGTCATTGGTTTGATGACAGACTGGTCAGTGTGGAGGGCATGGACTTCAGGGTGGGACATGTTGTCTCCAGAGCTGGGTGGGGAGCAGTGGGTCCAAGATTACAGGGGACCCCTCAAGCCTTGCTGAGTGCTGACCTTGGGACTCCGCACCCTAGCCCCTGCCTTCCTGGGGTGGAATGGGGGGGCCGGCAGTGGGGGCATGGCCATTAAGACCATCACAGCCATAGCCACGGTGGGCTTGTTCTGTCCACAGATGTGTAGAGGCGTGGTATCATCATAGCTTGGGAAGCCACCTGCCCCTGCATCCCTCCTAAGTGATGTGTGGTGGCCAACCTGCCTTGGGAAGGGTATGCACACTCACATGTGACCTGTTTGCACAGAGCCAGCCTTGGTCACCCTGGTATCAGGACTGTGGGCTTCTCGAGGGGACAAGCACAGACCTGATGGCACAGAGCTCCAGGGAGACACCAGGCACTTGACAGTCACACCAGAGGAGTCACGGGCACCATGGACCTCACATGCCATTGCCTGGCCAGCCAACTTGATTAAGGATGGGCCCACTGGCGGATGGAGCCATTCTTCCCTGTCATTCTGGTGGCAGCGCTGATGTGGTCTGGTGCCAGCCTCTGCCCCACCATGGTCACAGTGTGTGAGGCTCAGCAGTCGGTGGCCATGTGTGGAGTAGTGTCCTCTGAGCTGGTTACCCGGATGGGCCCCCAGGAGTTGGGGAGGAGCCCCAGCGTTTGAGTGTGAAGTGCACTTGTGAGAGGAATTCACACCAAGGGAAATAGGAAAATGACTGCAGAAGCTGCACTTAAGGAACAAGCCCTGATCTCAGTGAGTGACAGAGACACTGGTTTTCTTGGAGCAGGACCTCAGGGCCTGTACTGTCGGGTGGCACAACTAAGGGGCTCCTGGTGATCGATCTGCCTTGGTGGGGAGTGGGTTTAGAAGCAGCGCCGAGACGCCCTGGCCAGGGGGCTGAGCCCAGTGGGTGGTTGTCCAGCTGCCCTGTCCACACTGGGCAGGAAGAAGGCCGTGACCACGGACACACATGTGGGACCAACCACAAGGGAGCAGCCACGCTTCTCACACTCACATGCACACGTACACACACACTCTCTCACACCCACGTCCCATCCGGGCAAGCTGGCATCCTTCTTTCCTGGGTGGGGGATGAGCTAGTCACTGCTTTATCTCCACAGGGACAAGTGTCAAGGAGGAATGCAGGTGCAGGAAGGGAGCCTCAGGTTGAGGACGCCCCGCCACTGAGTTGCCACGGTGACCTCACTGCAATGCTGTGCTCTCTTTGCAGCAAGCCTACCCATGTCCTCACCCAGGGCCTCATGGTGACAGCTCCTGGGGCACCGGGTCTCTGGCCTTGGCACTGCCACGACTTCCCAGGTGTCCAGCTCACCCTCGGAGGTGACAGATCCTGTTCCGTCAGGGGACTTTGTTAGGTGTCTGTGCTTCCTGAGACCCATTCTGCTAATGCAGGGCTCCACTAGGCGGCTGCACAGTGCCAGGTCTGTGGTCACATGCTCCCAGCAGAGAGGTGTCAGCTCCCTGGGCAGAAGCAGACCCCAGCCTGTGCACGGGGTGCTCAGCTGCTGTTTCATACACTGTGTCTCTCTGGGGTGGAGCCGACCTGGGATTCTGCAGCCTCAGGGGTGGTGCTGGCATGGTGGTCACTGAGGAGGAGTGGCAGCAACTTCTGTGTAGCTCAGCTCCCAGGAGCTGGACTGATGCACACACCTCAGGACGACTGACTGACCCTGATGAGAGGCAGTGGGTGCCTGGGGCCCACAGGGAGCAGGCCCTGCATGAGGAGAGCTGTTAGCTGGGACGGAGGCCACAGGACGGCGTCTGCTTTGCCACAGTGCTGGGGCGAGAGTCCAGGGTTGCGGCAGATGTGGCTCCTTTCTCCTCAGTGTGTGCCACAGCGCCTTGCTCAGGTGGGACTGCTGAGGCTGGTATCGGGGAATAGGACGTGGACACCAGGGGCCGAAGGGCTTTGTCCTTGTGGGGTGTCAGGAAGGTTAGGTTTGTACACAGGCCTTGTCTGGAACCAGGTGCAAGTCCACACTGAGCTCAGAGGTGCAGGTAGGCAGGGACACTGTTGGCTTGAATTTCCCACCATTGTCATGGAGTAGGGGCCTGCATACATCCAACTTTGTCCACAGCAGAGGTCGATGCTCCTTCCAGGGTGTGATCTCCCTGCCTACTGGTGTCACCCGCCTCCACTGCCTATCCCCAGCTACCTGCAGCTTGGGGGTGCAGGCCAGCGGGGTGGTGCCTGGCCTGACCTCTTGTGGCAGGATGGACCTTCCATGGGGCATGGAACCTGAGAGTCACCTGAAAAGTCACTGCCTGTGATGCCGTCTGTCTACAGGGGCACTGTGGCTGGTCTCTCTCAGGCGACACTGGGTCACTAGAGGGAGCAGCCATCACCTCGAGGAGGCTGGGTGCACTCTGGGCTGAGATGTGCTGTCTGTTCCCAGCCTTGGCACCTCTCTATGGGAGCCAGTGCTATGCCTGGGTTCATGTGGCCCACCCTACCCTGCATGCACATGCTACTGTCACAGTGCTCAAATTTCACCCTAACATCTGGACAGCATGAGGGGTCTAGGAGATGCCTACACCTCCCAGAGAAATCAGCTTGGCCTGGACGTGCAGCCAGGGACCATGGGGTGTGGCTCGTGGTCTGCCAGGCAGTGAAGGGTTTTGTTGTGATGCTGGGATTGAACCTAGGGCCTTGAAAGTGCTAGGCAATTGCTGAACCATGGGATACATCCCCAGCCTCTGTAAGGTTTTTAGAACTTAAGATCCTCTTAAGTTATGGAGTCAATCGGCAAGGGGATCTTTCAGCAATCTCACATCTGTGTGCACACTAAGCATCCAGTGTGTTAGGACCTGACACCAGCAGGGGAGATCCATATTTGTGACTTCAGGATGTCCAGGATGTGTGATAGATCTGATCCCTGTCGGTCTCCAGCTGCCCGAGTTCCTGAGCTCCTAGATCAATCACAGCCCATTCCTACATCCTGCGGTCCCCACTGGAGCCTGGGAACAGTGCCTACTTTGCCAGGACATGACACACCTGTTCCGCTCACTAGGTCACAGCGCCCATTGCTATGGCCATGTACTCAGACATTCTCACTCCCCCAGCCTCACACCCCTCTTCGCCTCCTGCCACCTAAGCCCATCCATCCCACAACCCCCCTGCCCTAGCCCTAAAAGACCCAGCTCAATAAACTGGACCCAGACTCGCTTTTGGAGTCACTCCAGAAGGTCGTGCCTGGACACCCCAAGTTCAGGTTGGCTGTGTTCTTCACTGGGTCACTGTTTACTTAACAGGATGGACATGCAGGAGCTGCTGCAACTAGACACAGCATTTCTGGAATGCTCAGGGAAGAGGGAATTGGAGCAACCTCAATTTTAGGTCTGGTTAATCAGAAAGCTTTTGTTTTTACCCCTGTTGTTGCAACCTGGTTTTCGCTGAGTCTGAGCGATTCCGGGGGCACCAGGACCCCCTACATCCTAGGGACAACTTGATGCCTTCACCCCAATGGCCAGGACCCAGCACAGGTATGGTTAGGGAGGCAGGAGATGGAGGGCCAGGTATGCATTTGGTGAGCTGGGGACATCCCTGGGTCCTGGGGTTTGTCTTTTCCCTCTTTCTATAGAAACTTGGTGTTCGTCCCCCGGCCTCAGAGAGACATCTTGTTCATTGAGTCTCCTACTTGGGCTCTGCCTGCAGCTGTAGACACCGACAGTTCTCACAGCTATGGGTGCCCTGTGACCCTCTCAGGAGGGCCAGGGTGCCCCTGCATGAAGAGGACGGGGTTGGACAGCAGCAGCCGGCCCATGTCAGATCAGCCTGATCCCCTCTCTGCTCTCAGGAAACAGCTGCAGAGAGACACCTCTAACACCCTGAAAGTCCCGGAGCACTGATTGACATACCTTTGTCTGGACCATGCCTGGTCTCTGGTCCCTCAAGTGCTCCAGGGTAGCCGCGATATCAATCTCTTTAGCACCTGCAACAAACCACAAATTGGGCTGAGCTCAGTGCACAAGATAATCCACGCTGAATCTGTCAATCTCCTGTTATCGGGCTCCCTCTGGGCAAAGAGGCCAGTTGAAAATTATTACACTCGTCCCTCAGCAGGCTTGGGAGGCAGCTGCAATTTCAGTGTTCACACAGAAAATAAGGCAAGGGCAGCTTTCATTAGCATTAATTTGAGAAAGCCGGGCTAAGAACAGTCCTAGATGCCTGTATAGATACCACACTCACCACCAGCAACAGCCACCACTAGAAACTGAGTTTTGTTGGGTTGTTTTGGTGGCATCTGGACTGTTAAGTCAGAGGAAGCAGAGTATGTTTTGACTTTGATTGCATAGAATTATTTCTCATTTTATGAAAGGAAGGTTAGAGCGATCTCTTACACCTAGTACTGGCCTTTGAACGCAGAGTTCCCTGGTTTCTAAAGCTGAGGGCTGCAGATGTGAAGCAAGGGCTTTGCTGTGATGAGGAAACAAGAGAGGTCCAAGGCCATGTGCAGCGGACCGCACCAGATGCCACCAGGCACCACAGGACAAGCACAGGGTGCTCTGGAGAGCAGCCCCCGGGAGGAGAATCCCCACCGAGCCGGAGTGTGGCCTTGGCAGTCTTGACACCCTAGTCCTGTGCTGCTGTGGCCTCCTGGGTGGCTGAGCAGCCATGGCCAGCACTGCCTCAGGAGCACACATGCTGTGGCCTGTAGGACCAGAGGTGGCAGAGCAGTGAGGGAGAAGGTAAAGCATAAATCTAGCTATGGGAGCTAAGGAGAGGGGACAAGATGGGCGGCACCTCAGGGGAACCAGCTGAGCTGGAACCGTACATCACATCTGCATAAAGGAAAACAGCAAGAAGCCTGGGGAAGCTGTGGCAAGGCTGCCTGGTGCCATCACTGACTCTACCATCCCCGGCCCACGCAGCACTGGGGCCTCTGGGCCACCCAAGGGCAGGTGAAGTGCCTTCAGAGCTGACCAGAGGTCTCCCCAGCTTCTGTCCATGGGCAGCACACCTCCTCTGTGTGTCTAGGACACCAGAGCCCACTGCCCCTTCTCCGGTAGCCTCTCCCTTGTGGGTGGCCAGTATCCCTGGGAGCTGGATGAGAGGCATTCTCAGCTGAGGACAAGGATCAGGTCCTGGTTTGCTTAGGTGTTGCTCTTCAGGGGTTCAAAGGCTGTCAATGCTGAGAGGCCATAGGACCCACTGCCTCATTTTAAAGAGATTCCATGCATTTAGAGCAGTCTGGAACAGAAGGGTGAGTCTCAGGGGGTTGGTTAGGAAAAGGAAGTGGCAGCCAGCCAGGTCCCCTGCAGGGACCATCATCCCCCAGCAATGGAGCCCACACAGCTGAGTGACAGTGACAGCCATGCAGGGAAACTTCCTTCTCCCAGAACAGGCCAGGAGTGAGAGAGGGGCTTCAGGGCTCCCACATGCGGGCTTCTGGCCTTGCCAGGGCACCAGCCCTCATGGCGGCCACGACTGGCCCTCAGCAGGGCTGCAGCTGCTGGTCATGCTGCACATTCTGTTGCACCTGAATTTCAAGTGTGAAGAATGCCAACCTGCAGATAGCACGGTGCCTGAGAGGATGCTCATGGCACTGCCTTCTCCCTCATCTCAAGCCCGTGAGGTCTCCCCAGGGATGTGGGGCACAGGCTGGGCTGAGCTCACCCAGAGAATGGTGAGCCCTGTGACATTTAGTGACAAGGGCGGAAGAACAGCCTTGTGACCAAACTCGGCAGCTTCCCACAAACACCCTACAGCCCACAGGAGGATTTCTATGTCCCATGAGCACTATGCCAGCACCCTCTGCCCTCTCACAGGGAGGGGTGGCTTCTGCAGCACCCATGACTCTCACCTGGGGGCCTGTGCATGGCCTAGGGCTTCTCACGAGCGTCCCAACTATGACTGATGTCAGAAGCCATGGGGCCCAGGTCGTGTGGCAGGCACGGCTCCCAGATGCAGAGACCAGCAGGGACACTCCTGGCCAGGGCTTTGTGTTCGCTGTGCAGTGTGCTCAGTCAGGCCTCTTTGGTGGTGTTGTGGGATTGGGAGCTGGGCTCTGATGAAGTTCATCAGGACTGGTCCAGGGTATTAAAAATATGTCTTTTTTTTTTTGGGTGCCAGGAATCAAACTTAGGACCTTGCACTTTCAAGGCAGGCAGCGGAACCACTGAGCTAAATCCCCAGCCCCAAAATACGTCTATTGGTTTTTTTAAAAATAAATTTTATTTTATTTTATCCCTTTCCCCCCTCAATACCCCTTGTCTATTGGTCTTTAAGAAACTTTCCTGAAACAGAAAAAGAGCAGTTCAGAGTAGAAATGTCCGGTTGGAATCCAATGTGGCTTTCTGAGTTCTACAGAATGGGCATGGCTCTGTGTTGGGGTCCTGGTGCTGCTGTGAGTGTGGATTCAGGCCACCACCTTGTCCTGTGGCAGGGGCTGTGTCAGGGCCCTGAGAGACGAGGCCAGCGATGCTGTGATCTTCAGGGTACAGCAAGGCTCACTTCGGGGACACTCCAGACAGACGGCAGCTCCACAGCAACTATTGCCCTCTGACCCTGGGCCTCAGGTGCAGCGTGAGGCATTGGCCTCAACAGAGGAGAATTTCAGTCCTCTGAGGTTGTCACGTTGAGGGTCCACCTGGGACACAGACTCAAGGCTTCCGTGATTTAATCCTGAGGGCTGTCTGCACCGCAAGCCTGGGTGCACTGTTAGCACTGAGAGCCACTGGCTGCAGGCCATGTCCCACAACTCTCGTGGGGGGCCGGGGGCCCCTGAGAGCTGGAGCTGGTGTGGCCAGAAGAGCTTGTCCTCACGTGGGCAGTGACGTGGACAGGTGGTGCTAAAGACAGACCCCAGGGCCAGGCAGGTCCTCTGGTGAAACGCTATGACCAAACCCTCTTGCTTCACGCCTCTGTGACGTCCTTTCACAAGACTGTTCTCAAAAGAAAGTGGGAAAGGGAAGCAGAGTGGCCTGAGTTCACCCAGATGGGGCACGTACGTTGTAAGAAATACCAGGGAGATGCTCATACTTCGCCTGGCTGACACCAAGGCAAAACAGCGGAGGAAATTAAATTAATGCTGAAAAAAGTGGAGAGCACTAAAGTTAGGTAGGTAATGGATTTGTTAAGTAAAATCCATTGTCTGAGGTGGATGGCTAATGTCTTCTTGCATGCTAGAATTAAGAATAATTAGTTATCTGAAGTGTGTGTGGAGACAGTTTTAATAGAGCTCACTGCATAATCCCTTATGAGGGACAGAAAGGCAGCAGTGAGTAGCTCAGCGTAGCCGCCCCAACACCAGTGTGAACTTTTGCAGGCAGAGTGGCAGGCAGAGGGCTGAGTGCTGTCCTTTCCCTTTGTGGATGGACCACTGAGCTTCAGGGTTGGTCTGAGCCCTGGCCCAGAAGCTCCTCTGGCATCAGTGGTAGAATTCTTTCCAAGAATGTGAAGCCGAAGCTGACAAAGGTCACATTCCAGGGGGCAGTGATGCTCAAGTCAAAAAGCTGGTGGACAGTCCAGGGATTTTATCACATGCAAGAATCCAGGTGGAGGAGAGACAGGATGCAGGGACACAGTGGGCAGCCCGGTGCTCTGCCCGGCCCCCAGGAAGCCCATCCCCCAGGCTGCATATCTCCCATCAAACACCACAGCACCAGCCCCGTGTGTGTGTGTGTGTGTGTGTGTGTGTGTGTGTGTCTTGCCCTCAGGGCCACCCAGAGGCATCCAGTGCGGCTTGGTGACACTGACTACATCATTCCACCTCCAGTCATGGTGGCTGAGGAGTCTACATATTGGAAAATACATTTTCAAGACAGCGGAGGCTTTTTGAAAGCTTTAGATAAAAAGTATTACCCAATAAACATTAAAAGAACGTTAGTATTAAAGTATTAAAACTATTTTTTACGATGAAAGAATCAATTTGAAGCTGAGGAAAACTGAGTGAACGTGCCCCTGGCGTCTCTTTATGATGTTTGCTTTGATTTCTGTGGGAGTTGGTTCCAGGCTGTGTGCGGCGCCGGCTGGCTTATGCCATTACCTGTCTCCTTCAGGTGGATGGGGCACCAGGCGGCCGTCCTGGGAATGCTGGTTGTGGCTGCCCAGCTTCCCACATTGCTCAGGAGTGACAATTTAATAAGCATGGAGGCCTCTTTGTAGCTGTCTCACCCAGGAGGTTCTCAGACTGTAGGACACGACGTGTTCTTTATTGAAGCAAACCATAGTGTGTATCAAATGTCCGTGAGAGAAAGGCCTCATGCACAGGGAATTTTCTAATTCTATCCCCTGGAAGGTCCACGAGCACAGCTTCTTGCACCCAGCCTGGGGGTGCCTTGGTTTGAGCCTTTGGTTAGGAAGGGCTGGACCACGAAGGTCAAGTTCACCCCATCCCCTGGCCCTGCATGGGCATGGAGGTGGGTGGCAGAGGGCACAGTCTGAACCCTGATGGGACCTGGCTCAAGGGCACAGGGCTGCGTGGGCTCTGGAGTCAAGCACATCTGCCTGCACCACAGCTGGGTGCTTGCTGCCTTTTGGCACCATGTACTGCAAGCATGCAGGCACACACATGTATGTGCCCACTGCACACACCTTACACACACACACACACCACCCTGCCACATGACTGCGTCCACATACAAGAATCATACATGCAAAACACCTCACCACACACTCACATGCACACACGAGACATCCTACGTCCACAATAGCCCACCACACACACACACACACACACATACACACATATCTTTGGGGGCCTGTTTTACTGAATTTTTATTCATACTCCTATGTGTGATCCTAACTAAACACTTAGAAAAATTGAGCTGGGTGTGTGGCCCAGGCCTGTAATCCCAGCACTTGGGAGGGAGGCTGAGGCAGGAGGATCGCTGTGAGTTCAAGGCCAGCCTGGGCTCTGTAGTGAAGTCAAGGGCAGTCTGAGCTGCACAGTGAGACTCTGTCTCACCCCCACCCCTCAAAGGGCAGGAA